CGCTATGTTTTTGCATGTATAACAACTATGCAAAAGCATTGTGCGGCCTTTAAGGCGACTCAATTGGACCAAGTCTTACACACATACAAATCTGATTTACAACAAAGGTGAAATGTGAAAGACATATGAAAGAAAATTGAAAAGGAATTTTGCGCAACAGTGTCAGGACAACACATTCTTTTTGAAGTTTCAAGCCAAACCCTTTCGCCCTGGTTTGCCCTGGGACCCTCCAAAGACGGCAACAATTTGGGTGACTGTCCACAAAGGGACTTTCTAGTTCGATTAGGTGCTGTCGCCAAGAATAGTAAATTTTGAAGTATATCCAAGTTTCCGATAGAACATATACAAAAGTGTCACTTTGTGAAACTGACTGTCACTTCGACACTAAGTTGAAGCCGAGAGACTCATCCATTTCCGTAGATCCACCAAATCCTAGAGTTGCTTGGCTTTTCTGGGATTTCCGCTCTGTTCAGATCGATATAGAGCGGATTCTCTTTAAAACATGAACATGATCTTAGCGTGGAAGAAACTGTTTCCGTCCTTGACAGTTGCCGTGTTGCTCCCACGCAATTTCAGCAGTCGAGTCATGAACTCTGCAAACGGCAACCTGAATTCAGTGACATATCAGGCCTCCTCACTCCGGTATAAGGGTCTGGGTAGGCAAACAAATTCACTGCAACGTGCAAAACCAAACATGATATGACTTGATCAAACCATTTCATCAAACCGTTTGCTCAGTCCAATTGATATCACTTCTGATTCTACTTATTGACAAGGACATGTTTGCAAAACAAGTCGTGTGACACTTGCCAACGCAGCTTGGACGCTTTGCCAAAGGAAGGCCGCCATCTTCGTCCTAAAAGAATGCAAGATCTCCAGATCTATGAAAGACTTTAAAGACTTTATAAACTTTACGAACACATAGGAAATATGCGAATATGAATATGCACATTAATGTATGCAATATAGTTACTATGAACTATGCGCAATAATATATATATATATAGCTACTATTAATATTGTTTTTTGGGTGGTAAATTAAACTCCTAAAAATGGGGTGGTTGTCGTACCTTAAACATCAAGTAAGTGGCAAGCATATAGCCAAATGCGAGGCAGTGGGCAGCTAGTTAGCACAGGAAACCACTAGTACTAGTAGCATCCGGACACAGTAAAGCAAGGATTCTTAGGTCTTTACAGAAACTAGGATGTTGGAAATACTTCGGGAATCTTCGGGACATGTTTCCCTATTTTTGGATACCATTTTTGAAACCTGCCGTGCGCTGTGCCCGTGAGCCTTTCAACGCACCTCTCGCACCTCTCTCGCTTCTCACGCACCTCTCGCTATGGCGCCGTGCGCATTTTCAGACTTGAAGTCTATCAGAGCCATTCAAGCACACCACATTAGGTTGGGCACCTGCCTGAATCTGTGAGTATGCCCGACCGGAAATAGCCAAGGCTGTGAATACAATGCGCCCACTCCAAAACGAAGGCTTTAGTTAGGGGGCTCAATATAAGCAGAGCCGTATACATATGTTGCCCGACCGCGCTGCATGTCGTATCGCCAGGGACTTTCATGCTCAAGGGAGGAAAAGGGCCACATTGATCGCGCTTTCGTAGGTGCGAGCTGCCAACGTAGCGGAGCTGGGAGCAACCCGGCTCGCCACCGACTGGACGTGGAGCTTTCGACCGCGAGCCATGGAATCTGGCAGTCTCCGCCACCTTAGTGGCGAGGACAGTGGCCGCTGCGAGTACAGGCGGTGGAAGAACGCAAAACAAGATGTGAGGACGATGTACAGGCTGACAGACGAAGCGAAACGTCGTTCGGAAGCTTTTGGCCCATCGTGCTCTTGAAGTGGTCGAACACCTGAAGGACGATTGCCAGGTCAAAGGCGGTGACAAAGATCTTCAAGTTGCTTGACCAGCGATGGCCGGAGCTGGAGCGGACAGATGAGATCGGCGAAAACATCGCCGAAGTGGTTGGCCTCATATTGCACGCTGCTACCTCCGTCAACCACCTCATGAGGTCATGAGGTCTTTGGTGAACAGCCCAGGACGCGCTGTGCTCGACAGTGGGTGTGGCAGTGGCATTCCTGCCCCTGCCAAGAAGGAGCAAAACTGTTTTCGCTTTGCATCAGGGAGCAAGAGCTCCGATTGTGTGGTGGAGACGCCGATCTGTGTGGCCGAATGTCCCATGTGACTGCTGTTGTGAGGGGCGACGCACCGTTGCTGTTGTCCCGGCAAGCACTTAAGAAGTTTGCTGGAGATGCTTTGATATGCTTTGACCTGACCTTGACCGCCGAGGCTCAAAGCGTGTCTGTGGCCCGCAGCATGTTAGAATGGACCCGGGGTCGTTTCATTTGTTGTTCCAGTCTTCCCCAACTCTTGACGACAGACGGACTGCCATAGATATAGTGATTTTGCGCGACAGCGTCACTCGAATGAAAGCGTCCTTGCAAGAGGTGGATCCCCACGGATTGCATGCTAATTGATGCCTTGACCAAAGAATCACCTGAAGCTTTTGACTTGCTTCGTGCCTGTCAACCAGGTGCCAAATCAGCCCTCAAAAGCTTGTTTTGCAACGACGCGCCAGACCGCCGAAAACAGTTCGCATCCAAGTCGGCCCAACCACCTTCAAAGGAGGGGAATGCATGCTAGTGATGACACCATGCCTCGGGTTGTGCACTCAAACTTTCTTTTGAGTGTATAGGGACAGACACTTGTGAATTGATCTTCTGTTTGTTCCTTGATGTTCCTTGTGTGCTGATAACAATGCGGTATTGACTTTCCTTGGCCTAGTCGACTGGAGAAACCTTTGAGTTAAGTCGATCTCTTGAGACCATGTGATTTTGTTTTTGAGAATTCCTTTGCTTGTTTTCTGCAGCGCAGTTTAGGAGCCTTTGCTGTGAGTTGTCTCGAGTGCAAAAGCCATGGCATCCAGCCAGCCAGTCTTCAGCTTGGCAGATGCTGATGAGTGTGTGCCCTCGCTGAAGATTTGTCACGGGAAGCCGTCTCCGTCAAATCCTGCACTGGATCCACCCACGGTTCCAAGGGCCTTCGTGAAGGTGACCTATGCTCCCGCTGGTCCCGGCCAAGAAGGAGTGATGAGTGTGCCCTCTACCGTGGAACGGCGGGGACAAACAATGGTGACCTTTGGAAAGTACAAGGATGTCAAACATACTCAGAGCTGTTTGACTCCAATGACGTATCCATGGCCTCCTATCGGAACTACATGGAACTACTGTGTCAGCCACTATAAGAGTGGCTCACCTGCAATGAAAGACCTAGTGAACTATTTCAAGGCTCGTCGCATGGATGAAGGCTCACAGGCAATCATTCCTGGAAGCCACGCTTCTCGAACTTTTAGAGAGAACTGATAGAAGTGTTGCTTGACCGCGCTTCATGTCGTATCGCCAGGGACAACAGCGGAAAAGTGTCGTAGGTGTGAGCTGCCAATATAATACATATACAGTGTGTATATATATATATACACAAAGTATACATTATTTGCGTTTGTCAAGCAACCGTTTGAACGCTCAAAATGAGGGCTGACACCTGGCTACAGCCACCGTTTGAGGGGGTCAACCCCACCAATTTCAGCCATTTGGCCCGGATCGCTGCTCTAACTTTTTGTGGCACGCGCTCGGTACTAGGTCACAGGTGTTTTAGTTGCAACATCAGAATATACCTTGAATCAACTGGCTACTTTTTCTTGGACCAGACGACCTGTGCCAGCCGCTTTTTGTGTACGCTTACGTTCCGGCCACTATAGCGCACGAGGTGTGCAGCCTGTGTGATTCCTGTTGAGATTTACCTCCTGCAATGATACTACTGTAAGCTTCCCATAGGTGGTTGGATGCCTTTGTCTCGGCACTTGAGAGCAGGCATCTTTTTTTTGAGATTCTAAAATGGGATCTTCAGTGTGACATGCTTGATTTTGCCAATTGAACACCGCTTGGCAACTTTACAAATACATTTGATCTCTTCTCACATACAAGTGGTCCACAAGCGACTTTTCATGGCAGGGGCAGGAGATCGGCAAAGTTGGACTTCGAAGTGCGGATGTTGAGGCAGGCTGCTCCCTTCCTTCCTTCATCCCTTTCCTTCCTTGTCCTTGTCTGGTCCTTGTCCTTATCCTTCCTTCCTTGCTTGGTCGATTGATTTATTCTTTCAACAGTAAAACAAAAGAACAGGCCAAAGCAAAGCATAAAGCAAACGCGAAAAAGGAAGGGCATTGCAGGGAGGAATAACAAGCAAACAACAAACAAGAGCTAGAAAAGACGAAGATAGCAGAAGCAAGACAATTGGCAATAAACAAGCACAGGAAAGCAAAGAGACGCGTGACAAAAGTGAACAAACATTCCCCCAAAAGTGCACTTCCTTTCACAATTGTTGTCGCTAACCTGACAGAAGTGTTTTGAGCTCCAAGTTGTGAACAGGCAGTCCTCGAAGAGGACATCAACAAAGTTTGCCAGTGTCTGCACCTTGGCACCCAATTGGGGTCAGGATACACAAGGCTTTCGAAACAACTAATACTTGAGCGAGAAAAACGGCAAAAGAGTAGAACATTTGAACAAAGCATGCTGAGCACATGTGCGACTGTGTCTAACTCTGTCCGTTGCGAGACTGATGACTGTCTGCGATGCGGTCGGCAAGTCCACTTTGTTCACTCCTTTTAGTCTGTTGGTCCTTAGGTGCCAACGTCCACGTCCTTAGGGCGACAAAGCGCACTGTGCCTCTCTGTGTGCGCCGTGTCTCCCTGTATACAACTACCAAGTCATTCCGCACAGTTCGACCCACAGCCATCTAAAGGTTGAAGGTCAAGCCACCACCTCTTTCAGCACTTTCCGCACTCGAGGGTTTCCCATCATCCCTGAAGACGGTCAGCAAACAGAAATCCCATCTACACTGCTGAGTGCCCACAAATCCCACAAGTACAACCTGGTCTGAGTCTTTGTGTGGAATCTGTTGGCTTGATTACGAGGTGTCATTGGAGTCGCGCTTCACAATGTGTCCAGGTTTGGATGGTATGGCCGCAAAGGAATGGGGTGCCCTTTGGCACAAGTTTGGAAACGTAACTCGTTCTGAAGGGATTGGAGAATCCAGCCTCGGAACTCGTCACGATCTATATTGCCATCCTTGTCGGTGTCGGCTCCGGCTTCCAAACAGGTTTGTAGAACTTCCTCGGGGTTCATCAAAGTCATACATTGACAACAGCAAAAGAGTTTTGTCTTCCAGGTTTCCACAGGAACATTTGCAAACCTGGATCGCCGAGTCATACCAAGTCACTGTGGTCAAGCTCACTTGCATAGCATTCTTCTCTGCATCTGCCACCGCGGTAATAACTTCACACAGAATACCAATCCTTAAAACAACAACTCGAAAGCTCGAAGCTTTTGACACACATCTTAACGTGCATCTTCAGTTCCCTTTCTCGTGCTTATGATCGCTGTACGTGCAGTGGTGTACATTGCCTTGCAGTGTAGACAGGAACGGAACCGTTCAAACCACTGTAAAGTCTTCTCGAATAAAGAACTCCTGAGATCTCAAATTTCCCTCACGAGCACACCAAGCGTCAGCATGTTCATAATAGTCACTGCCTTAGGCTCTGAGCGTCTTTGCTTGTCTGACCGTCTGACACTGGGTCTTTGCTCCGACACAGTCTCACACCGTCTGACGCTCTGAGCTGATTTGTCCCAGTGGCTGAGATAAGAATGAAAATGTACCTGGGTTTCGAGCAGGAAGCTCACAACAAAGTACTTCTTGAGCGCTTACAAACAACACAAAGAAAGAAAGAGAGAGAGAGAGAG